TACAGTAGTGCCATCTTGGCTCACTGCAACCACTGCCTCTTCAATTCTAGTGATACTCCTGCCAGAGCCTCCGAAGTAGCTGGGATTACAGGCACGTACCACCACACACAGCTAATGTTTGTATTTTTAGTAGAGGTGGGGTTTCACCATGTTTGCCAGGCTGGTCTCAAACTCCTGACCTCAAGTGATCTGCCCGACTTTGTAATCCCAAAATGCTGGGATTACAGGCATGAGCCACTGCTCCCAGCCCAAGGACATGTTTAATATTTTATTTTTTGCAGAGTTAATATTGTTGGCTTTATTTTTATTTTTCTAAAGCAGCTTATAAGATTGGAGGAAAATAAAAGGAGCCAATGGCTAGGCATCAAAGCTTAGTTGAGAAGATAATATATGATGTACTTAGGTAGAAATTGGATCATGCATGTTCTGAGCTTTGCTTTGATATCTGGCCTTCAGCAAGAGGGTTTAAAAATAAATTTAAAAGCTGTTTTTTCTTGATTATGAAATTTATATATGCTCATTCCTATATTTAGCAGATACTTACTTAGAACCTCCATGTGTCAGATTCTGTTCTACATCTGGGAGATACTTTGGTGAATAAAACAAAGTCCTTGTTATCCTACTGTTTACATTTTTGTGTGTGTGTGTGTGTGTGTGTGTGTGTTGGGAAGTGTTTTATGTAGGGAGGAAAATAACATTTGTAATCCTACATCTTAGTCTTCCCATTTTTTAAAATGTGCAAATATATTTGTCTGTGTGTCTAAATACAAACAGAACTGTGTGTATATATGTGTGTGTGTATATATATGTATTGCTGTCTTAACCATATGTGTGGTTGAGATCACATATAATTGTCTTGCTTTTTTCAATTAACACAGTATTATGAGTATTTTCTCATGTTACTCAGTATTCTTTGACAAGCTGTCTAATCTATTATTGATAATTTACCCATTCCCAATTGAAAGACATTTAGGACATTTGTCATGTGATTATACATAACGCTGCAATTAATATCTTTGTATCCTATGTTTACCTTCATTTAAATCATTTTCTAGATTTATTTTTTTATATGTATTTTTTGAGATGGAGTCTTGCTTTGTCGACCAGGCCGGAGTGCAGTGGCGTTATCTCGGCTCACTGCAACCTCTGTTTCCCAGGTTCAGGCAATTCTCCTGTCTCTGCCTCCTGAGTAGCTAGGACTACAGGTGTGCACAACCACACCTGGCTAATTTTTGTATTTTTAGTAGAGACGGGGTTCACCATATTGGCCAGGCTGCTCTCAAACTCGTGACCTCGTGATCTCCCTGCCTCAGCCTCCTAAAGTGTTGAGATTACAGGTGTGAGCCACCAGGCCCGACTAGATTTATTTTTAGAACAAGGTTGAGTAAACTCTGGCAGGATTAGGTCCTGACCTGAATTGTCACCTGTGCTATTTCACCCATTGACAGAGAATACAACATTTTTTTTTTTTTTTTTTTTTGAGATGGAGTTTTGCTCTGTTGCCCAGGCTGGAGTGAAGTGGCGTGATCTCAGCTCACTGCAACCTCTGCCTCCTGGGTTCAAGCCATTCTCCTGCTTCACCCTCCCAAGTAGCTGGGATTACAGGCGCCCACCACCACGCCCAGCTAATTTTTGTATTTTTAATAGAGTCGGGGTTTCACCATGTTGGCCAGGCTGGTCTGGAACTCCTGACCTCAGGTGATCCACCCACCTTGGCCTCTCAAAGTGCTAGGATTTCAGGTGTGAGCCACCATGCCCGGCAACATTTTTCTTCTTAATCTTCGTAGGAGGCCCAAAAGACAGGGAAATCTTTCCTTTAACACGTCCTTTTTAAGCTTTTATTTGTGCATGCTGAGCAGTGTTTTAAACGTAGCCCGTAACTCTTCTGTGGCTACACTGCAAAGGCTTCTTAGACTTATGTTTCTGATCAAGTCATTGTAGCCTATCAGGAAGTCAGTGTTGAAGTACATTTTCTTCTGACATTAACTTTCCATTCCCTAACTGCATGTTAAGCATGCCCCTACCTGGAAAGTATCTTTTCTGGGGGAAAATCAGATGGTGACAGCATTAGAAGCACAGACGGAATAGAATGGCCTGTTGTAATTTGTAATTTAAGGAGTCACTGTGTCAGTGCTAATAGTGCCAAGAGTCCAGTTAAAATAGCATGGACTCTGTCTGAACTGCAGGCAGCAGTGGGCTTGTGGGTCTCCTTGGGAGTATCATCAACTGGCACTTTGAGGGCAGCTTGACTGAAAAGACAGCCAGATCTCTGTGGGTGATTTTAATAAACTCAGGCTATTCCTGGGCTGTAGAATAGTTACATAGATTAAGAAGAGAGGGTTGTAAGAGGTGGCAGCTGAATATCACCTTGGGAGTTGAACAGTAATTAACTTTATTTTTAATATAAGAAAATGATTTCATTTCAGAACTGGAATATGCTAAAGATGTACCTAGACAGCAGTAATTATTTTACTGTCTCAAGACAATAGCTAGAGGGTACCAGTACCAGAAAGTAGTAAATTAACAGTCTGCAGTCTAGCCTACAAAGTAATCACATTGAAGAGGTACAAAACTGTGGACACTTGACTTAATTCATCCAGAAAAGATAATCAGCTTGTCTGGATTGCTGAAGAGTTAGTATCTATGTAGGCAGGTGATATTTCAGAGATTTTCCACAATAAGAACTTTAGGATCTGGTAATACTACTATTCTATTGTATACTTTCTTCAAGTACATTAATTTGTGACTTTCCTAAAGCCCTGCAGAAGAGAAAACTGTCTCTTAGGTTGATTTGCCTAAAGTCATAAAACACACCCCACCTCTCCTTTTTCTTTTTTGAGACAGAGTCTGGCTGTGTCACCAGGTTGGAGCAGAGTGGTGCAATCTCGGCTCACTGCAACCTCCACCTCCTGGGTTCCAGTGATTCTCCTGCCTCAGCCTCCCGAGTGGTTGGGACTACAGATGCCCGCCACCATGCTCGGCTATTTTTCCAATTTTAGTAGAGACAGGGTTTCACCATGTTGGCCAGGATGGTCTCGATCTCTTGACGTCGTGATCCACCTACCTTGGCCTCCCAAAGTGCTGGGATTACAGGCATAAGCCACTGCACCCGGCCCCACTTCTCCTGAGTCTTAATCCAATGAGTCATTTTCACTTCACCTTAATGCTTCTGGTTTTAATACGGATATCTGTCTCTCTCTTGGTAATCCATTTCTGAAAATCAGATATTCTATGCAGGAGTACATTCTATGCAGGAGCTTATTTTCCACTATGTTAAGTGGGAAAGTTTTTAATATATTACATGTCAATGTAAAACTCCCCAACGAATTCCCTAAGCATTAATAAAATACAGCAAAATACCTATATATAAATAACAAATATCATGTTAGGATGTTAGATGCTAAAAACACTTGCTGCTCTCCAAATAGTTAATATAGTAAGAAACAATTGCTTTGTGTGCAGGAATACATAGCACATCCCCTGTGATGCTCTGCATATTCTTCAAAATGTCCACCAGGAATTCTGATATTCTGTCAAAAATGTTACTCAAGACATTTCCTGTACATCATCTTGTATTGCATTTTGGGGATGTACAGCTTTTCCTATATAAGCAACTACAGTAAAACATTATATGAATTTTGGATATTAAAAACCAAAAGGCAGCTGGGTGCAGTGGCTCACGCCTGTAATCCTAAGCATTTTGAGAGGCCAAGGTGGGTGGATCACAAGGTCAGGAGATCAAGACCATCCTGGCCAACATGGTGAAACGCTGTCTCTACTAAAATACAAAAAATTAGCTAGGCGTGGTGGCACACACCTGTAGAGGGATTGAGGCAGGGGAATTGCTGGAACCCCGGAGGCGGAGGTTGCAGTGAGCTGATCGCGTCACTGCACTCCCGCCTGGCAACAGAGCAAGACTCTGTCTCAAAAAAAAAAAAAAAAACAATAACAAAACAAAAAACAAAACAACCAAAAGGCTTCCACAGGGAAATAACTAGAGAGGTGGTTTTGCAGGGTCTGCTGTAATTAACTGGCACTAGGCCAAGGAAACAAAGCTAATGCCAGTGAAAAACACAGTTATTTAATTCTCCATTTTGGGTCAATGCAAATGCGTATCTCAAAAAACCAAGGTTCTGAACCTCTGGCAACATCTTACAATTCAGTAAGATCTGCTGCTGGCTAAGCCTAGGGCATGCTAGAGGAGAGTTGCTGGGAAAACTAAGAGTAACATGTAACTACTTGCACATACTGAGGGTACCTCAAGACACTGGCTTCCTTGGAGTGCTTGGATTTTTAACAGAAGGTCTTAGACTACCATTGTATGTGTGAAGGAGGCTGATTTGAGTTTTTGCATGATTGCACATTCATGCACATAGCATTACTATCCATGTGTAGTGAGACTACTAGATGCTAGTCTGAGTCTTTACCCTTCCATCACCTACTGTCATGCTTTCCCAAGTCTGAAGATCCTGTTTTCCAAGATCTGTGCTCAGTAAACAAGCTTTGGAGTCTTTAAATGAAAGGAATAGGAAAGGTGAAGAGAGGCCTGGCTTAAAATCATAACATGGAGATTATGGCAGTGAATCACACTGGGTTGAATGCTCTGATATGGAAAGCAGGCTGTGTAGTTCCTCTAGTTCAGAAATTCTGTTTTTTGAGACAGAGTCTCACTCTGTCACCCAGGCTGCAGTGAAGTGGCATGATGTTGACTCACTGCAACCTCCACCTTCCAGATTCAAGTGATTCTCCTGCCTCAGCCTCCCAAGTAGCTTGGATTACAGACGCCTGCCACCATACCTGGCGAATTTTTGTATTTTTAGTAGAAACAGGGTTTCGCCATATTGGCCAGGCTGGTCTCAAACTCCTGACCTCAAGTGATCCACCCTCCTCAGCCTCCTAAAGTGCCAGGATTACAGGTGATTACAGGATTACAGGATCACCGTGCCTGGCCTAGTCTTTTTTTTTCTTTTCTTTTCTTTTCTTTTTTTTTTTTTAGAACAAAACTAGTTTATTTGGATTTGGGGCTCTGAACAGTTCTGCCTCTATTACCCGACCTCCTCCTGCCACGACTTCGGGACCTAGAGGAACTTTGGCTCCGGCTGCGGTGGCTCCTGCGGCTCTGGCTCCGGCGGCCTTGGCCCTGGCTGCGGTGCCTGTTTCTTCCTCTGCTTGGTGAATTGTGCTTCTCCTGACTCTTTGATGTGTGTTTGTGAGATTTCTTCCCCCTGTGACTACTCCTTTTCCTCTCAGATTCCCCATTTCTTTTGTAGGAGTGGTCTGGACTAGGGTTTCTCCTTCCCCGCAGCCTGCTGGAGTAGTGGTCGTGGTGGCCCATCCTCTCCCTCCTCTCGGAGTTCTTGCCAAAGGAGGAGCCAGTCTGATCTGGAGACAAGTGGATGTCTCTGTTAGCTTCCCAGAATTCATTGTTGGGATTTCTGAACACATGAAGAAAGTTGCAGTGTTTTCCTCTTGGACACTGTTGTATTTCAAATAAACCACAAATCGCCATTTTCCACCGGGTCACGGGGCAGAATTCACATTGCAGCTGTCGTCCTGCATACCATCGTCCATTAAACAGAGAAAGGGCTGCTTGGCATTCTTCTTCCGACTGGTACTGAACATATACATTGCCCCTCAGGTGAGGTTCTAAATTGCAGCTGACCTTGAACTGAATCACCTTCCCCACGTTCTTGAACTCGGGCAACACATCCTCATAGAAATCTAGGAACTGTTGGTAGATTTCTTCCTCGCTATACTCCAGGCTTGCGTCAGGGTCATAGTCATCCCTCCTGCACTGCTCCATTCCAAACGTTGTAAACATGCTCTTAATAAGAAGGGTAGGACTGGATGTTGGGAAATTATGTTTACGTGAACATCTGTCTCCAAATCTGCAAGCTCCTGTTTTACTGTAAAAGGGACAATTAGCTCGATTCTTCTCCATTACTCTGAAATCCACAGGTGGTTCAGGGTTTTGCCATATGGTACCATTTTCTAACTCATTTTCAGCCTGATCCAGCATCTTCTGCACAGCTTCCTCTTTTTTTTTCTTCTGTCATTTCTGGTCCTCCTCTTCTCTATCTTTCCTCTGCTGTTCTTTCCATTGTTCCTTTAACTTTCTCTCTTGTTCTTGCCATTTTTTAGCTGCCTCTTCCTTTTCCTTCTTTATTCTGAATTCTTCTTGTGCCTTCTGCTCTCTCAGCAACCACTCCTCATGTAATCTTTGCCTCTCTCTTTCCAATAGCTTCTCTTCTTCTAGTTGTTGTTCTTCAATAAAAGTGTCCTCCTCCTCCTCCTCCTCCTCCTTCTGTGAGAGTCCTGAGTCTCTCAGTCGAGCAAGTTCCTGCCGACATTTCTTTCGTTTCTCCTTCTTCAGGGCGGCCCTGTACTTTTTGTGGCTTGGTTTCTCTGGAAACGTCATCTTCTCAAGTGCAGCCATCTTGCCGGCACCGCCTGGCCCCTCAGACATTCTTAACCTATGGGAATATATGGAAGATTCTGTTCATAGCTGCCACTGTCAGTGATTCTACTTACAAGTACTTTATGATGTCTTCTAGTATTGTTTTGTTTGCATACTTATATATATTATAAATTACTTTCATTTTGTTTTTCCTTTATGTTGCAGTTAGACTATATATTTTTTGTAATTAAGTATATCATAAATTTGAATTTCATTTCATGTACTAAAAGGAGAGTTTCTAAAATATTTACTTATGGCCAGGCACAGTGGCTCACTCCTGTAATCCCAGCACTTTGGGAGGCCAAAGCGGGCGGATCTCCTGAGGCCAGGAGTTCGAGACCAGCCTGATCAACATGGCAAAAACTCATCTCTACTAAAAATTAAAAAAATTAGCCGGGCATGTTGGCACATGCCTGTAATCCCAGCTACTTGGGAGGCTGAGGCAGGAGAACTGCTTGAACCCAGGAGGCGGAGGTTGCAGTGAGCCAAGATTACGCCACTGGAGTCCAGCCTGGGTGACAGAGTGAGACTCTGTCTCAAAAATAAAAAATAAAAATAAAGATTTGCTGAAATGTTTTTGGTTCTAGGATTTGCTTTCCCCCACTGAAAGCTAATATGCTCTCCTGTTAGTAATGTTTCATAGATGCTGTTAGAAAACACAGTATTCTTGGGTCAGAGAAAGTCCTTGCTATGCTCAGTAATTTTCTTTTCTTACAAAATTATAGGGGTAGATTTTTAAATTCCCAATACCTATTTTATAGAGGAAAAAACAGACTTAAGTGATTAAGTAACTTGCACAAGGTTTGCTTAGCTAGTAAATGGCAGAACCGGGATTGGAAATTAGTTTCTTTGAGCCCATCCTGTTACTCTCTATATACTATACTAACTCTTTGAATCCCTGAATCCCTGTTTGTTGGGTTGAGAGATCTGTATATATCTTTAGAGTGAGATTTTAGGCCGGGTGCAGTGGCTCACACCTGTAATCCCAGCACTTTAGGAGGCCGAGGCAGGTGGATCACTTGAGGTCAGGAGTTTGAGACCAGCCTGGCCAACATGGCGAAACCCTGTCTCTACAAAAAGTACAATAATTAGCCAGACGTGATGATGCGTGCCTGCATGCCTGTGGTGTCAGCTACTTGGAGGGCTGAGGCGGGAGAATCACTTGAGCCCAGGAAGTTGAGGCTATAGTGTTCTGTATTTGTGCCCCTGCACTCCTGCCTGGGTAACAAAGTGAGACCCTGTCTTTTTTTTTAAAAAAAAAAAAAAAGAGTTAAATTTTGTGTTCTTTATTCTGCATTCTTACTAATTTCTAGGTTGTTTTATATATCAATTTTTTTTTTTTCTTTTGGTCTTTTTGAGACAGGGTCTTGCTGTCTCACCAAGTCTGGATAGCAGTAGTGGTATCACAGCTCACAGCAGTCTCGACCTCCCAAGCTCAAGCCACCCTCCTGCCTCAGCCTCCCAGGAGGACCACAGGCATACGCTACCAAGCCTGGCTAATTTTAAATTATTTTCTTTTTTTTTGTGGCCGGGAGCAGTGGCTCACACCTGTAATCCCAGCAGTTTGGGAGGCCAATGGGGGCGGATCATTTGAGGTCAGGAGTTCAAGACCAGCCTGACCAACACGGTGAAACCTTATCTCCACTAGAAATAGAAAAATTGGCCAGGCATGGTGGTGTGCGTCTGTAGTCCCGGCTACTCGGGAGGCTGAGACAGGAGAATCGCTTAAATCCAGGAGGCGGAGGTTGCAGTCAGCTGAGATTGTGCCACGGAACTCCAGCCTGGGTGAGAGAGCAAGACTCCATCTAAAAAAAAAAAAAAATTTTTTTTTTTTTTTTTTGCCCATAGAGATGGGGTCTCCCTATGTTACACAGGCTAGTCTCAAAACTCCTGGGCTCAAGTGATCCTCCAACCTCAGCCTCCCAAAGTGCTGGGATTACAGGTGTGAGCCTGGCTAGTATATCAATTTCTGATGGAAATGTTAAAATCTATGATTGCAGATTGTGTCCATTTGTCTATATAATTCTGACTTACATTTACATATTTTAAAGCCATATTTGAAAGCTATCTATAGCTATATATAAAATATATAATTATAAAAATATTATATTACAAACATACAAAGCTATATATAATTTACATATTTCAAAGGTATATACAAGTTCAGGAATTTTAATATTCTTGCTGAATTGCTTTCCTTATTCTATTTACTTATTTTGCCTTAAGCAATTTGTATGTATTAATATTACTAATGAGCTATTCTGGGAGTTGGTGTTTGTCTGATATATCTTTCCCATAACTTTATTTTCAGTGTTCCTATTTGGTTTTGTGGTAGGTATGTTTCTTAAGCATACAGCTATAGTTTTGGGGTTTTATAAAAAATTTAGTCCTATAGTCTCTGGGTTTTGTTTTGTTTTTGAGATGAGCTCTTGCTGTGTTGCCCAGGATGGTCTCTGCATTAGTCTGCTCTCATGCTGCTAATAAAGACATACCTGAGAATGGGCAATTTATGAAGGAAAGAGGTTTAATTGACTCACAGTTCTACATGGCTGTGGAGGCCTCACAATCGTGGTAGAAGATGAAGGAAAAGCGAAGGGATGTCTTACATGGCAGTGGCAGGCAAGAGAGAATGAGAGCCAAGTGAAAGGGGAAACTCCTTGTAAAACTATTAGATCTCGTGAGACTTATTCACTACCACAAGAACAGCATGGCAGGAAACCACCCCGATGATTCAGTTATCTCTCACCTCTTCCTTTCCACAACACATGGGAATTATGGGAGCTACAGTACAAGATGAGATTTGGGTGGAGACACAACCAAACCATGTCAGTCTCCAACTCCTAGGCTCAAGCAATCCTTGCACCTTGGTGTCCCAAGTCACTGGAACTACAGGTGCATGCCACTATGCCCAGTAAGTCTCTGTCTTAAAAACACTTGTGCATCTGTAACAAATTTTAATTCACAAAGGTTACATTTCAAGAGTTACTTTTTACTGTAGTTGAGATAAGGGGAGCCTGGGCAACATTGTGAGACTTGGTCTCTACAAAAAAAAAGCTATAAAAATTTAGCCAGGCCTGGTGGTTCATGCCTGGTTAGTCCCAGCTACTTGGGAGGCTGGGGTGGGAAAACTGTTTGAACCCAGGAGTTCAAGGCTGCAGTAAGCCATGTTCATGCCACTGCACTCCAGCCTGGGTGACAGAGCAAGACTCTCAAAAATAATAATCTGGCGATATTAATTTGTTGAGAACTTGGGTTTTGTTTTTTATTTTGAGTGTAGTACAAGTTCAGAGTGTAGTACAAGTTCACAGTGTAGTATAAATTTCTCAGAGCCAACACGGTGCTGTTGGAGTGAGCTATTTGTGCATTTTAAACTAAAACTCTGTCATTAGTGTTCACCTTTTATCAGCTTTGTATCTCTAAAACATTTGAAAGACTGTCTTGGAAAGGCATCATAGCTTGTTGATTATCAGAGTACATCCCTTGGTTTGGAATCATAAGGACTAAGCCTTTTAAATTTAAAGCATGATAAATTAAGATGTTTTTACTTTAAGGAGAAGATGTAAAAAATACTGATTTGGAATCTCTCTGTAAGTGACTTCTGTTTTTTTTTGTAGAGTCACCTAGGCTGTATGGAATAAAATGTGGTTAAAATCTTTTAAACTAAAATAACTCAGCATATTGTTTATTAAACTTTCTAGGGAATTGGGCAGATTACTCTGAATATTCCCTTCTTTTTTTTTTTTTTTTTCCTTTTTATCTTAAAAAGGAGTAAATTGCATGGATGACTTGAAGTGGCAAGTTGGTATTTTTTGAATAAACAGTAAAAAATTTTTGGACATAAATAGTGTAAAAATCCTTATTTAAGTAATTAGGGCAGAAATTTGTCAATTTAAAAAAAAAATCTCAGTGGCAAAGTAGAGCTGTAAAGAAGGAGTTAGGAATAACTACATTTAAGATGAAAGATGAAGAACAGCTGTAAAGATTCCTTGAAGGCTAAAGATCTACCCAAAAACTGAGGTTCCACCAAAGGAAGAATTCAAGAATGGACAAGGTATTTTTTCTATAATAGGATGAACAAATGTGATAAATTTACCAAGGTAAGCCTAGCAAGCACAAGCCTCCTAGATATTAGGCTTATCTGGATAGGGCTTTATGCATGCAGATAAGTACTATATTTTCTTAATTGATTTCTAAGAGTTATGATTAATAAAAGCTTCTTACAGCTATATACTAAAAAGTGGTCCAAGTTAGGAAGATAGTTAAGCTCCTGGACGTGGTGTGTTTTACCCTTTGTTTTTTAGTCTCAGCTTTTCCTTACCAGCTCATTACTCATCATGTTTTTAAAGAAAGCCCACCTTTAACCTGCAGAAAACACTGGTAATACCTTTGGAGAAAATACCAGAGGCATTTCCCATCCCCATAGTAAAAGACAGTGTGTATTCTCAGAATGTGCCCCTCCACCCTCCTGTTACCCATGCTGGCTCTTATTCTGCAGTGTGGCTTCCTGTTGTGGTGCATGGCCCCGAGCCCTTCTAATGGGGCTGAACTGCTCTACAAGCGCATCATCCGTCCTTTCTTCCTGAAGCATGAGTCCCAGATGGACAGCGTGGTCAAGGACCTTAAAGACAAGGCCAAAGAGACTGCAGATGCCATCACTAAAGAAGGTAAGACTCAGGAACAATATGGCCCCACATGTGAGAGGAGATGTGACACACTGGGCTTAAATAACAGGCTTCCTGGCCTTCTTGTCTTACCAGCACCCCTCAGCCAAATGCCACCGTTACTCTGGGATTTCTTTACAAAGTCTTTGCCTATTGAGAACACTTACAGTTCTCAGCTTTTCCCAAGACTCTTCCTCCATGCCACATTTAATGTAGCATTGAGTCAGAACATTAGGAAAAATGACTTTCCATGGTAGGCAGTGATTTTAGAGAATCACCTATATTGATATGCAAGTACATCTCTTCTAATTGTTTATTTGTTTGCATTATACTTTTTAATTACATAGGTAGTTTTAAATAAATGGAGAAAGCACCTTTCAAAAGCTATACTAGCAGGAAACAATTCCACCAAGCATTTACACAGTCAATTTCTATAATTTTACAAAAAATTCTTGATCTTTACTTGAACTGTACATGAGGGGAAAAGAGCCCTCTCAGGTAGGTGTTCTCTCCACTTGCAGAAGCAAACTAAAGGACCTAAAACTAGAGGCAAGCCTGGGATGCCACAAAGGGGGAGGAGAAATGATAAATAGCCATTCATGAATTCCATGTCTACTCTGACACTTCTCTAATCACCCTCACATAATAAATATTTAGGGCAAACTACCACTCTTTAGAAAAAGTACAACCTCAAAAGCTGTAGTTCTGAATTATAGTAACATATCAAATACCTTGGACTGCATGCCAAAAGACAATACTTGGGGTTCTCTATGACATTTGAACAGATAAATACGTTAAGGGAATTCTCTAGGACTGCAGACTCTCTGGCCTTTGGAGTGAAGCACAGGCAGGCTTCTCTGCTATCCTCCAGGCAGTGTAATAGTCAAGGAAAAGGGCAACAGTATTAGATCACCCCTTAGACACTAACCAGCTGGGGAAAGAGTTCATTGGCCAGTCTCCTCCTTAGAATGGTTTGCACCAAGTGGAGAGGCCATGTTGCTGAAGGGGAAAGGGGAGCCCTCATACCCACAGTCACTGTAAACATCCAGTAGACAGGAAGATGGCTTCGGGCAGTGGCTGGATGAAAGTAGATTGGAGATACCCTGGTCTGGAATGAAGTCATCTTCCACAAAGTCTTCCTTCACTGAGACCACGAATTCCGGGTGATCTTTCTCTGAGAGGCTCTTCCTTGATTTTCACTACCACATTAGCTTGACTCTCTGTCTCAGACTACGGGCTTGGCATATATGTAGTCAAAATTAATTAGTTCATTAATAGCTTCAAGCTTGGCTGATAATGTCCCCACTGACAGAGAAAGGGAGGCTGGTTAGGAATTGGGTCCTTCTGAGTAGACCTCTGGGAGCTGCTCCAGGCTGGCAGACTCTGGGGAAGGACATTTGAAGAACACTACTGGGGGTAAGTTGTCCAGAATGCCCAACAGGATATCATACTGGGAAGGTAGTTGATGTTTACTTCCAACCCCACTACAACTGACGTCTACCCTCACTGCCTAGTTAGGGATGTCAAGCATCAAATAGATGGAATTAACTTGGCTTTCGCCTCCTCTTCAGTAACCAGGGCCTCCATCCCCAAGTGCTGCCTTCACTCATGGTTCTCAACTATGAGTCCATGCATTTTCTCTTGTAAAAGCTGATTGTCTAGCAAAAATTTTTGGTTCTGTTCTAAATCTACTACTTGCTGTTTCAGGTCACTCATTTGAGCTTGCCTTCTGTCCCTGGCAGTTTGAGCTGCTAACCCTGTTTTTCAGTGTCCTCCTCAGCACCTTCTCCTTGGGGTTCCCTACCCCCACACAGCACTCAGCATCTCCTGGCTGGCTCCTCTCTGGGCCGGCACCATGAACAGCAGGGCCTAGCTGGCCAGGGCTGTAGCAGCAGGGTGACCAGACAGAAGTAGTACTTTGGAGGCCCTGACAGCCAGCCTAATTCAGTTCAGGTTGATCGGTTCAGTATGCTGTTCAATTTTTGTTATGGGTACAAAAGAATGTCCACTCTCAGCTCTGATTAATTCACTCAATAAATATTTATTTATTGAGGTGTTTAATATGTGCCAAGCATGTTCATAACACTGGCAGTGAACCAGCAAACCAGAGACCATACTCCTTGAATTAATGAAGCTTACAGTCTAGTTGAGAGATAGGCAGTAAAATTGAAAATTAGATGGTATATTTAGCAGATAATATAGGGGAAAAATAAGTAGAAAGATGGGGGGGGGGCCAAGGGCTGGAGGGATGCTTATTATTCTAAATAGAGACATTTAGGAAATCTATACCAGAAGGCTCTACTGAATCAGACTCGATAGCAGTAAAGGAATCAGGAACAGTGACTCAGCCTGTAATCCCAACACTTTGGGAGGCCAAGGTAGGAGGATCACTTGAGGCCAGGAGTTTGAGACCAGCTTGTTTGTGACGGGGTCTCCTATGGAGACCCGCTCTCTACAAAAGTTAAAAAATTAGCCGGACATTGTGACGCAAGCCTGTAGTCCCAGCTACTCAGGAGGCTGAAGTAGGAGGATCACTTCGGCCCATGTCAAGGCTGCAAGTGAGCTGTGCCACTCTAGCCTGGGTAACAAAGCAAAACCCTGTCCCCCCTAAAAAAAATAGAGAGAGAAAAAAAATGGTAAAGGAAAGAACCATGGGGAATCATACTCCAGAATGAGCTGCATATGCAGAAGTCCTGAGGTGGGAGCAACGGAAGAAGTGATCTAGAGAGGTGCAGGAGACGAGGTGGGACAGGTTGCAGGTGATAGGCCATTGTAAAGGTTTTGGCTTCTACTCTGTGTGAGATGTGGAGGTATTGGGGAATTTTAACCAGAGGAGCAAAATGATCTGTCCTGTGTTTTAAAAAGATGCCTGTGGCCACTGTATTAGGAACAGACTGAAGCGGGGTAAGGGAGGAAATTGGGGGAATAGTTAAAAGGTTTTTGCAGTGATCTGACTGGAGATGACGATGGTGGCTTGGTTCTTTGTGTAGCAGTAGGAAGTAAGAAGTATCAGATTCTTGATATATTTCAAAGGTAGAAGTAATGGGATTTGCTTATGGATTGGGCATGGGTCAGAAGGGTTAAGGGCAAGGACAAGCTTTTTAGCCTTAACAAATGGAAGGATAAAATTGCTACTGAGCTGGAGATGACGGGGTAGAATAGGTTTTGTTGGGGTGGGAGGTTGTGGCGGGTCGGGGGGATATGGAATTCAGTCCTGGACATTTGTTTGAGGTGTCTGTTAGATACCTACAAGGATCAAACAGCTAGTTGGATACAGGTGTCAAGAGTTCAAGAAACAGGTCTGGACTGGGGACATAAATTTGGGGGCCACAAGCTTATACATATTAAACATGAGACTGGATGAGATCACGAAGGTAGTGTAGTTAGGAAAGAGGAGGTCCAAAGACTTAACGCTGGGGAGTCTAAGGTTTAGAGACTGGAGAGATGAGAAGCAACCAGCAAAGCAGACTGATAAGGAGTGGCCAGTTGAGTGTGTGGTATCCTTGGGTCCAAGAACAGAAAGTGTTTCAAAGAGAAGTGATCTATCATGTTACATGCTGTCAACAGGTCAAGTAAGATAAGGACTGAGAAATGAGCAGATTTAGCAATGAGGAAGGTACTAGTGATTTTGATAACACAGATTTTGTGGAGTGGTATCAAACTCCTGATTGCAATGGATTTGAGAGAATGAGAGAAAAGGGATGAGAGAATATAGATCTTTCTTTTGAGAAGTTTCCTGCAAAGGGGAGCAGAAGAATGGGACTATAACTGGAAGAAGGAATTACGGTCCTGAAATTTTAAAAGTTTTTTTCTTAAGGTAGAGAAACAAAGCCTGTTTGAAAATGAATGGGAATAATTCAACAGAGCAAAAAATGATGACAGGAGTGAGAGGGTGAATTGCTGGAGCTCTGTCCTTGATCAGGGAAGAATCCAGTATCCAGTAGAGGGACTGGTCAGAAGAGCTGGAAGTTTATGGTAACAGCAGGGAAATCAGGGTTTATGGTATGCTGTGAGCACATGGGACCATGGGAGCCTACAGAAGTGACTTTCTCATTGTTTCAAATATCTCAGTAAGGTAGGAAGAAAGAAGGCCAATTGAGAGAGGATGGGGAAGGAGACAGTGGAAAGAAAATGTATGAAATAGTTGGGAAGGAGAGGGACTGCTCAACTTTTTCTGTAAAGGGCCAGATAACAAATTTTTTTTTTTTTTTTTTTGAGACGGAGTCTCGCTCTGTCGCCCAGGCTGGAGTGCAGTGGCCGGATCTCAGCTCACTGCAAGCTCCGCCTCCCGGGTTTACGCCATTCTCTTGCCTCAGCTTCCCGAGTAGCTGGGACTACAGGTGCCGGCCACCTCACCCGGCTAGTTCTTTGTATTTTTTAGTAGAGATGGGGTTTCACCGGATAACAAATGTTTTCATGGCTATCAGTTCTCTGTTGCAGCTACTCTCCTCTGCCATTGTAGTGTGAAAGCAGCCATGGACACTACATAAGCGAGTGTAGCTGCAGTGTGCCAGCCCCTCTAGGACAGTCGGAGAGTAAATGGACTGGAACAATGTCCTGTGACTGCCAGGCAGTGTTAAAGGCATGCTTGAGATTTGTGTTCATGAATTTATAGTGAAACCAGTTCTTGTTTATGTTTTTCTCCAGCCATACTCAGCTACATGGGTACAGCTGCAGAGTAGGTGGAGAGTTGTGTGAAGGTTGTGATTTCCAGCAACTATGAAGTGAGAGTGGGACTGTGGAGTGGTTAATGCTTGACAATGGAATTTAACCTGAGTAAGGTGGGAAGTGGTGGTGGAAGAACCCTGAATCAGGATAATAGCAGGAATACTCTTATCATCATTTACAATGAGCAAAAAAAGGGGGGTGGGGAGCACACTACAAAGAAAAAAGTGCACTACAAAGATGATGGTGGGTGAGTGGGATGCTTAATACAAGATTATGGAGGGACTGCAGCATTGGTACTAACAGGTATCCTGGGAGTCAGTGCCATATGTAGGGTGGAATATAAGGGTTATTGGAGGTGAGAAATTAAGAGGTCATGATATTAGAAGATCACGCATGTCTACATGGATATTAAAATCATCAATAATTAAAATAGTAGTAGGTCAGGTGCAGTGGTCACACCTGTAATCCCAGCACTTTGAGAGGCCAAGGTGGGTGGATTGCTTGAGCTCAGGAGTTTGAGACCAGCCTGAGCAACATGGTGAAACCCAATCTCTACAAAAAAAAAAAAAAAAAAAACCACAAAAATTAGCCAGACGTGGTGATGCGTACCAGTGTCCCAGCTACTCAGGAGGCTGAGGTGGGAGGATCACCTGAGCCTGGGAGGTCGAGGCTGCAGTGAGCTGAGATGGCATCACTGCACTCCAGCCTGGGTGACAGAGTGAGACCCTGTCTCTAAATAAATAAATAAATAAATAACAGGAGTAGTGTTAGAAAGGAACATTAAGTTAGGAGCTAAAATCTTCAAGAAATAAGACAGAGTAGCCCAAGAGTCAGGGATGACAGGGAAAAGGAAGGCTACTTGATAATATAATCTGATGATGAAATTCTGAAAGTGGCAATGAAGAACAAAAACAATACCTACCAGATCCATTTGTACTAGGGTCATGGGAGGAAAGAGACAGCCACCATTTGAGAAAGCAATGTCCTCAGGGCACAGCCAGCTTTCTCTAAGAGCAAGAAGGTAAAGGAAACATTTGGAGGAATGAGTGAGGATATAGATTTTGCCGATGATGGGTCTTGAGCTCCAGAGGGACTCAAGGGTTTTAGAAATTGGAGAAAGGTTTTTGTTGTTTTTTTTTAGAGCTCTGTGGTAGTTAAGACATGGGAGTTGTGAGGTAGACTGACCACGGGGAAGTAAAATCCCAAGAGAGTTCTCCAGCAGCAATGATGCCCCAGAGGTGGTATGTTCCCCATTTCTCCCTCACATACCTCTCTTCTCTGGACTCCTATTTTTGGGTATACAAATCCAGTCTACTTCAATATGTTTTAGGTATTTTCTAACTTGTAGTCTTAACAACCTCCCACTTTAGGGTTGCCAGCTTTCTTTTTTTTTGAACAGTCTCACTCAGTTGCCCGGGCTGGAGTGCAGTGGCATGATCTCGGCTCACTTCACCCACATTTCTAGCCTCTTGGTTCTCTTAGATATCAATACTTAAAATCCAATCTTACTTTGGTATGATACATTCCTAAATAGGGGCATGAGAATTAAAATAAGTTAGGAGGAATTTACATGCTGACACATTTTAGACTTTCTCAAAGCTTTTGGATTAACTAGGAATTGTTTTACAAAGGGTTAGTTAAGGGAAGGACTAGTTTCTCCTTTGCTGTGAACTTGGTTCGGTAATTTTAATTGAGCAAAGGGAGAGCAGCTGTCAGGCAGCTGGTGGACAAGAAGGGACTCCCTGGCTCTCATCACTAAGACTCTGGGCTCCATCAAGAACAGCTGCAGATTGTAAAATCTCACAGGGGGCCCTGGAGGCTTCCAGACAACCCCTTTCCCCTCCATCTCACACACTGCACTGGTTCTTACAGCACATTTCCAGCCACTTGGTAATTAGAAAGTGGAAGGCTTGGTCTCCTGCAGACGTAAGAAAATATATTTTTCTTATTTTTCTCTAGAGACGGGCTCTCACTGTGTTTTGGCCAGGGTGATCTCAAACTCCTGGCTTCAAGGAATACTCCTACCTCAGCCTCTCAAAGTTCTGGGATTATAGATGTGAGCCACCACATCTGGACAGAATATTTTCTTGATGAATGTAGTGTCTTGTCACCAACTCAAAGACTTAGAGCAAACTCTTCTCATAGGAGAGAATGGTGGCACAGTAAGAGTATAAATACAGATTTTGAAAAACAATTTAGTATAACAACAATTTATATAGCATTCATGTTGCATTAGGTATTTTAACTAGAGATGGGCTTTTAAATTTTTTCTTAAATAGAGGTGAGGGGTGGGGGTCTCACCATTCATATTGGCCAGGCTGGTCTCAAATTCCTGGCCTCAAGTGATCTTCCCACTTCAGCCTTCCAAAGTGCTGGGATTACAGGCATGAGTCATTATGCCTGGCTGAGATTTAAAGTATACGGAAACACATAGGTTATATGGAAATACTATGTATGCCATTCCCTTTCAGGGCTTGAGCACTCACAGATTTTGGTATCTGTAGGGTTCCTGGAACTAATGTCCTCTCCCCCTGTCCCTCCCCTCCCAAACACATGTATCAAGGGATGACTATATTTCTAGTGCTAGGAATGAGGACTTCTGTGATTTGTCACCATGGGATAAATATGATGACCTAGTTGTCATCAGATTGATAATATATTGATAAGTGAAATCTTACAGGCAAGCACACAGATACAAACTAGAATTTGAATACTACCCTTAAGGAATCTCTGCTTCTTTTAATGCTTAAAGGAGAACAGAGGGCAAACAGTTTAGGTGACAAGGGGCTAGGCTAGATGACCGTCAAGTATTTTGCTCAAGTATTTAGGATTTGTGCTCTAAGAGGTACCCTCTCCATTTCCTGGAAACCCCCTTAGCCCAGACCACAAACCCCAACATGATCGCACCCGAACATGAGTCATCCAAATTTTGTTATCTAGTAGCTACGTTAGGCACAAAGCTTGCATTCCAAAGAGTTTTGATATATATTTCTTTCCCTCCTAACAGCCAAGAAAGCCACCGTGAATTTACTGGGTGAAGAAAAGAAGAGCACCTAAACCAGACTGGATGGAAACTTCCTGCCCTCTCTGTACCTTCCTACTAGAGCTTGATGTTACATTAGGGACTGTGGTATAATTATTTTAATAATGTTGCCTTGAAAACATTTTTGATAAAGATTGGAATGTGTTGTAAGTTTCTTTGTTTACTTTTACTGTCTATATACATAGGGAGCATTTTAAACTTAATGCAGTGGGCAGTGTCCAAGTTTTTGGAAAATGTATTTTGCCTCTGGGTAGGAAAAGATGTATGTTACTATCCTGCAGGAAATATAAACTTAAAATAAAATTATATACCCCACAGGCTGTGTACTTTACTGGGCTCTCCCTGCATGCATTTTCTCTGTAGTTACACTTAGGATAATCTTTATGGTTCTACTTCATGTAATGTAAAATTTTATATAATTCTGAAATGTTTTTAATGTATTTGTGCACATGTACATATGGAAATGTTACTGTCTGACTACAACATGCATCATGCTCATGGGGAGGGAGGAGGGGAAGGTTGTATGTGCCATTTATAACTTCTGTACAGTAAGACCACCTGCCAAAAGCTGGAGGAACCATTGTGCTGGTGTGGTCTACTAAATAATACTTTAGGAAATATGTGATTAATATGCAAATGAACAAAATGAGAAATGAAATCGAATGGAGATTGGCCTGGTTGTTTCCCTAGTACATGGCATATGAATACCAGGATAGCTTTGTAAAGCAGTTAGTCACTCTAGTGATAAATCAGGAAATTTACACACATACATCAATCAGTAACCTATAACTCTCAGTTCCCTGAAGAACTAGTAATACTGTCTTATCTACTTATAAACTTTACATATTTGTCTATTGTCAAGATGCTACAATGGAAACCATTTCTGGTTTTATCTTCAAAGCGGAGAAACATGTTGATTTAGTCTTCTTTCCCAATCTTCTTTTTTAAACAAGTTTAAGGAACTTCTGAAGATCTGTCCACCTCTGATTACATGTATGTTCTTGTTTATATCATTAGCAACAACATGCTAATGACAACACCTAGCTCTTAGAGCAATTCTGGGAGAATGAAAGGAAGTATAACCCATAATCTGCCTGGCAATAGTTAAGTCAATCTATCTTCAATTTTTCTCTGGCCTTCTTTAAGGTCAAACACAAGAGGCTTCCCTAGTTTACAAGTCAGAGTCACTTGTAGTCCATTTAAATGCCTTCATTCGTATTCTTTGTGTTGATAAACTGCACATGACTACATAGTAAGTACAGAACAATAAAGCTGAAATGGATATCTCCATTGATCTGCCAAATCGTTAGAGCAATTTGTCTGGACTAGAAAATCTGAGTTTTAAACCATACTGTTAAGAGTCCTTTTGAATTAAACTAGACTAAAACAAGTGCATAACTAAACTAACAAGATTAAATATCCAGCCAGTACAGTATTTTTTAAGGCAAATAAAGATGATTAGCTCACCTTGAGATAACAGGTAAGATCATAACGATATCTCATGATGTAAAAAATATTAAAGATACCAATACTAAGGGACAATATCACTCTAATATGGATCAGAGCATTTATTTTGGGGAGGCAAACTGGTGATTACTGGCATTTTATTAAACTTAAAACTTTGTAGAAAGCAAACAAAATTGTTCTTGCGAGAAAAATCACTTTTAGATTAAAACACATTTTTTTACATACCTAGGAGTATTTAAATCCTTTTCCCATAAATAAAAGTATAATTTTCTTGGTGGCAGAATGAAAATTAGCAAGTTCTAGCATATAGACTATATAATCAGATTGACAGCATATAGAATATATTATCAGACAAGATGAGGGAGTATAAAAGTTACTATTGCTCATAATGACTTACAGGCTAAAATTAGTTTAAAAATACTATATTCTGAATGCAATTTTTTTGTTCCCTTGAGACCACAATTTAACTGTTGTTGGCAGTCTAAGTGTAAATGTTAACAGCAGGAGAAGTTATGAATTGAGCAGTTCTGTCACATGATTTCCCAAATGAAACACTGCCTTGGCTAGAGTTTGAAAAAACTAATTGAGCCTGTGTCTGGCTAGAAAACGAGTTTACTTGAATGTGAATAGTGTTTCAAAGGTATGTAGTTACAGAATTCCTACCAAACAGCTTAAATTCTTCAAGAAAGAATTCCTGCAGCAGTTACTCCCTTACCTGAAGGCTTCAATCATTTGGATTAACAACTGCTACTCTGGGGAAGAGTCTTCTACCCACAGGTGAAGAAAATGAGCACACCCTTCACACTGTTATCACCTACCCTTAAGATGTGATACACTGAATGGAAATAGATGTAAATAAAATTCACTTCTCATTTAACTGTTATATTTCATTTTATTTTGTGGGGCTTTCTTCCTAACCCAGAATTATTTAAGCAAAGTTTTAAAATACAGATAAATGAGCCATAAACACTGTTCTTTATTAACTCTATTCCTCACATGGCTTGTAGTTTTCTCCTGGTGGTTCTTGCCTACCAGAGGAAAA